CCCATCTACTTCCCACCCCTCTTCTGCCCCTTCTCATTCTTCCTCTGCAGCCTCTCGTTCCTCCTAATCTTCTCCTTCCTCTCCCTCCGACCATCGCCCCTCTGCTCCTCGCCCTCGTTCCGCTTCTTATTATCCACCTCCACGATCCAGTCCCCCTCGCCTTCCTTGTTCTTCCCCTTGTACCCCCATTTCGGCACCCATTCGCCGCTCGCCTCGTCGTAGACAAGCTTCTTGCGAGCTTCGGCTGTCTTGGGCTTGATGCCCTTCTTTGCGGCGAAGCGCGACCAGGTCGTTTCTTTCTTGGGTGGTGGGAGGGGCTGGGGGGTGTTAGGTGGTGGGTTTGAGGTTGGGGTTGGTATTGGGATTGGGGATTGGGGATTGGAATGGTAAGAAGGCGGGGGAGAAGGGGAAGAGAGGAACGTACTTTTTCTCTAGGCAATCGCGTTTCAATTGCTGGTAATGAAAGTAATACTCCGCCCGGCGTATCGGTAATCGGACATGTGCTTAATAGCTGGTTCAACAGCGCTTGTGCTCCATCTCGTGCAGTCGCTGCTAGGTCGCTCTCCAGGTTGCTTGATCCAGAGAGGGAGAGTGGGTTTGGGTCGGCGGCGAGGAGGAGGCCGAGGTCGAAAGTATACGGAGTTGGTTTGGAGACTGTCACGGGGAGGGGCGCTTGTTTTTCTGCAGTGTCTGCCATTTTTGCGGTATTGTTGTAGGTTCGTGAGAAGCTTGAGCTTGATACCAAAATCTCGATAACGAAACTTTTTTTGGGAGGTGGAGTGGGGCGCGCGGACTGAACGCCGCATTTTAGCATCCGAGCTATAATTTCTTGAAGCAACGCAACTGCACTTCATAACATCAAGTGAGTGAGCTTCAATCAGGTCAGGGAAACTCACAACGCAACATCATGGCCACTTCACTCTCCCTCAATTGCTGGAGGCAGAAATGCCTGTCTCTGCCATTACCCAGCGCGAGATCCTTCTCCACCACTTGCACCAAACTCGCAATGCCAGCAACGAAGAAAGCAGGCGTAACCAAAAAAGGCCAAAAGAAATCAGCCCGCATCAAGTCCAAAGTCCCGCCGAAACCTACTGGTAAACCCCCTATGCCGGGCGAGAGGAAGGCGATGCGTAAGCGGATTGTGCTCAGTAATACCAATGCGCTGGAGGTAGATGGGATGGTGGATTTGAGCCGCGAGATGACCGGGAAGTTAGAGAACCATGTTGGGAAGGTTGTGGGGCTTGAGGGGGCCACGGTTGATGGATTAAGGGCTGCGGAGGCGTTCAAGACGACACAGGGTTGGGGATTGTTTAGACGGCCTGGTGTGCTGGTTAGGGAGGAGAGCGTGCAGTTGGGAAAGAGGATGGCGGGTGTTGAACAAAGGAAAGAGACGCTCAGAATTGTGGTTGATGGCGGAAAGGGGACGGGGAAGAGTATGATGTTGCTGCAGGGCATGGCTATGGCTTTTGTGAGAGGTTGGATTGTGCTTAACGTCCCCGAAGGTATGTCCCCATTCCCTTTCCAATTGGGATAATACAGTACTGATGGGTCGATAGCCCAAGAAGTCGTCAATGCAGTCAACGACTATGCTGCTATCCCGGGCACTACACCAACCCTCTGGTCCCAGCCAGCTTACACGGCGAATTGGCTTGCTCAGATTGCTAAAGCCAACGGCCCTATCCTGAGCACCCTTAAGCTCTCGCAAAAACACAACCTTCCCATTTCCGTCCCATCCGATACCACACTCACTCGCCTCTGCGAGCTTGGAGCCAGAGACTCTGACGTAGCATGGCCTATATTCCAAGCGTTATGGTCTGAGATCACAGCTCCTGGCCGTCCTCCCATTCTCATGGTTGTAGACAGCTTGAGCTATATCATGGATTTAAGCCAATACCGCGATCCGGACTTCAACTTCATCCATTCCCACGATCTTGCGCTCGTGAAACATCTCACGGATTATTCATCAGGAGCTCAGACTTTACCAAATGGAGGCGCCTTCCTCGCCGCTTCGTCAAAAAGTCATGCTCCTATTTCGCTGAGCATGAATCTCGCGATAACGCAGCAAGTGGAAAGGCAAAAGGGCGAGGAGATCACAGAGCGGGATCCGTATGAGCGGAAATATGACCAGCGAGCGGAGGATTCGCTCAAGGGAGTAGAGGTGTTGATGTTGAACGGACTGAGTAAGGTGGAGGCAAGGGGACTAATGGAGTATTGGGCTGCGAGTGGGGTGTTGAGGCAGAGGGTTGATGAGAGGACTGTTGCGGAGAAGTGGGCATTGGCTGGAAATGGGATCGTTGGGGAGATTCAGAGGGGGGCATTGAGGATGAGGATATAGATGGAGGATGTGGATGAGGTTGGGGTGATGTATTATATGTGAAACTTAAGGCGTGGATATATGTGTAAACATACTCGTGTATTATTTGCACGCTGAAACTAGTCGCCAATGCTTCTATCTATCAGTCATCATCACGTGTGAGCTGCTCAATTTATAATCCTCACTGGTGACTCTCATCCTCATCTATGCAACTGTCAATTTTACCCCGGTGAGCCACGTCCTATTCATCCAGTGGAGGGGCTACAGATGTACGAAAGTCACGTGGATTTGGGCCACAGCTTCGCTGCGACAGTCCTTACCAATAAGTGCTTCTACTGCATCTCAAAACGAAATCTTCTACACACTCACATGTTTATCCCACGAATTTGTATCATTTTAATACAATGATACTGAAAGTCAGATCCTATCCTGGAGCCCGCGGTTGTGTTGCTTCCTCCACAATGCGAATTTGCGGGTCTTGCAATCAAGGTGTGAACGAATGAAAGCTTTGTTTATTTGCGAAGACAACTAAAGTGACTGCGAGTTCTTCCCCTCTGCTGAATGGCCTCGAAAACGTGAGGAGGTGTAATCTCCATTTCCTGATTCCCGTTTCGAAATGCAATGTGTAGCAAATGCTACTCACCACAAACGTCTGCCATCGCTCAAAAGAAAAACCATGACTAAGCCCTCCAGAAAGACTGAATACTGCAGTCGATGAGCTGTAGTAGTCTCGTCGGTTCATCGAGCTCCTGAAAATCTGCAACCAAGTAGGAAGTTATGCAACAAAGTAGGACATTGAGTTACCGCCGATTGCCTTAGCCCAAAACACCGGCGACGCTTATCATCAGCTTGACTTGGCGCAGTTTCTCCTCTGCTGAAACGGAAGATGCAATATTCTGTGCTGAGCGGAACCTCCAACAATCGGGTTCATGTTTGCAAATGCCGTCTTCGTGCAAAGCTTGGTCGTGTTCGACTTCGAGCAGCCAGCCTCCTTTTGACGAGGCACTTGGGTCCGGCAGGGCTACTAGAAGCTGAAGAGCCACGCTGGAGCCTTTGTATGCTGCTTCAATCGCCAACTTGTAAAGTCTAGGCTTTTAAGAGTTAGTCGTCGCTATCAAGATAAATTCAAGAAGGGGACATACATTTCGACATCCCCATGTCATGGGTTGTTCCTTTGCAATCCTAAAGTCTTTCATCGCCCAGAATTAAATTCTATCAATCCCTTCTGTCCTACAACATATGTTTGGTGATACCGGATCAGAGCTATAATAGGTTGAAGGAGCCTGTGCATGGAAAGCCGAAAGGGATGGATCATTTGTAATGTAAGAGCCGTGATGTGTCTTTTCCAAAAGTAGACCGAATTCATACGAGTATTTGGTAAAGCTGGCAGAGAACATGTCAGTCTCTTGGATGAGCTCGTCCGATATTCCACCACTTTTCAGATTCTCTGAGATAGTCTTCTGGCAAGCCCTGACTTCCTCTTCGACTTCGGCCACAGCTGCCAGTTGCTGCTCAACTTGCTTTTGAAGTTCTTTCAGATTTTTTCGCTCTTCAACGGCTTTCTCGGAAAGCTTCTTTTGAACTTTAGTTGCTTGTAGCATATGCAAGAACAATTTTCGGCTTTTTGCAGCTTCTTCTGGTTCTCTTTGCGGTGCCATGTTAACTGCAGGTTTGGAGACAAGCAGCTAGGCGATGTGTCGGATTCAAAATTGCTCTGAAATACAGCTAGCTGCCCACGTTTGCTCGTAGAATGATTGATGTCTATCAACTAATTGAACTTTGACTACAAATAAAAGGTTAGCAAAGGCTCGAAACAAGTTGCTGTGCTAGCCTGCCTTTGCAACGTTCGTTCTCGATTGTAGAGACGACGACCACTTCAAGTCAATGTCGTCGCGCAGCGAACCACTTCATAGTTTAGTGTTAGCAACACAATCGAGAAAGTGAATTTGAAAAGCTCACCCTCAGTATTTCTCGTCCTCAACAAACTCGAAGTTGAGCAACGCTGTGTTTCCCAAAGCTGAAAGGGAAATGGAAAAGTCTCTTGCTGCGATTGAATGTGCCAAGTCTTGAATGGTATATTTTCAGACGTTGAATAGCCAATTGTGTGTTCCCTTCAAAGAAGAATAGCAAATGTGGAGTGGATGATAAGCTACTGAGGAATCCGGACGGACTGCGAAGGAGAGCCTTTGTGACGACTTGAACGATGTCCGAATTGACTTGGCTCGTGGAATTGATGATGGGATCTCTCTTTAACGTGCTTGAGAGAGTGTGTACTTATGGTCGAATAAGTGAAGAGAAATGAGTGCTGGAGCAGCTCGGTAGGAAGTGATGCAGGTTCGAGAGATTGTAAGGGATCGAAAGAGTCGAAAAGATGGAAGATGGAAGATGGAAGGTTTAGAGAGATGAACAAGTGAATTTGGAAGATGCTATAGATCCTTACAGCTGGTGAATAGTAAAGTAAGGATGCTATAAGTCTATCATACGGGGCGTTAAAAAAATTCTTCATAACTAGAAGGTATCAACTAAGTATCCAGCAAAAGTAAACGGAGCAGATATGGGGCCGTGAAGAAAAGTCTCAGTATCTAAAAACATATCAGACCAATAGTGATTTATAATATCATTTCTCCTTTTTAGTTGTCAAGAGATGACATGAGTCCAATTGAGTGTTTACAAGGATGTATCATGAATAGGGGGGTGGAGTCACGTGTGCGTCTTGATCCACAACCTAAATTTGTATAGGTAGTCACTTCGCTTGAGGGACGACTTGGTATTGTCTCAAATTGAGAATCCAGTTTTATGCTATCAAATCCTCTCAAAGCCAAAATTTGAATTGATTGCTATCCTTCCAACATATAAATTCTAAATTCTTCAAACGACCGATTTTTCAATTCATTGCAAGTGAGTTAATAAGAATAGTGCCAACGAAAGAGGTACCACACAACAGCTTGAAGTAATTATAGGAGCATGAGATCGAGATCCCACGGTTTCCTACCCCAAACCTGTCTCTAAGAGGTGCTAACACTTGGCCTGAGTAGTGAGAGCATCATTGATCAGAGTGACCGCCCCATTCAGCGCACACAAGACGCCCTTGTTAGACGCGCCATTCGCAACTGACACCTAGTGTGAAGTTCCTGAGTTAGCCACAAGTTATTTGGTAGAATCTATAACGAGGTTGGAGGCAACGAAGAATGTCCTTACAGATGTGTATGCAAGTATATTTGCTTGCAGCGCACTGGCAGCCCCAATTGTTGCTGAGGACCCAACAATGATGTAGACGTTGCAAGCCTTTGCTCCATTAATCAACAGTATCTTCGAAGCAGCAGCGGCCTCAAAGGTCGTCGACAGGAGAAAAATGAACTGTCCATTGGCATTCTTTGCTCCATTCAAAGTGACGTTACCTGTCAGCGACCCTGCGGCTGTGGGGAACGTGTAGACGCCTGGAGGGAGAGTCAAGCCTCCCAGATCAGCTGCAGGGAGAGCAACAGTTGGGCTAGCAGCCCGTGCCTTGTTGTAAGCTGAGAGACAGGCAGCTTCTGCCGAGCAAGCAGCTGTTCCACCAGCAGATTTGGTGCCTGTGCATTTTCCGGGAGGGAATCCAGTGATTGCTGTGCCAGGGCAGGTTCCGCAATTTCCAGTAATCAAGGTGGCTCCAGTGCTGGTCAAAGTCGTATGTGCAATTGCGCCCCAGTTACTAGCAACGCCCATAGTGAGGGGGACAAAGAGCCTTTCGATATGTTCGAGGGAAGGATGAGAGAGCGAAACTCCAATCTGAGCCGCAAGGACTGCGAGGTAGGTGAACTTGAGAGTGTGATACATTTTGCTGGTTTTGTAGGGTCTTGCTGATCGAATTTCTGGAAGTAATGATGGAATTCTTGAGTGAGTGGATGATATTTGAGATTTTTGTTTCTTCGCATGGTGGGAAAGGGTTTCTTATATACCCAAGCCTTCTCCATGGTTAGCAATAATTCTCATAGCTTGGAATCCGTAAATATATCGAAGGGATGGCATTTGACCCTCAAAATTTGTCGACTCAGACCCTTATAGGTCTCGCCACCAGAATCTGTCTATGTACGTAGGGTCTTCACGTGGCTAGGTTCCCACCTATGCAGCAATATTCTGTGGCGTGCGGGGCGTGTCATACTTCGAACTGAACCCCAGTAAAAATAAGCTGATGTGTTCCGCAGACAGATTTCCGGGAAGTAGAGCCTCCTAGACTATTTGCATCCCGGATAGATGGGGTGCTCGTCAAAGTTATGCTGTAGGAGCCCTTTCCATATCTGGCGAGAACGAATCCTGAGAATTTTTTAGAAAGAAACCAAAACGTACGTTAAGCAGGCACGGGTTATATTCAAACTCTCCGCATCTAAGTACTATTATTGAGAGCAAATGGGAAAATCTGTATAAGTCTTTAGGTCTGGCACACTTTAGATACTTCTAATTAGGCAATATGGAGAAGAGCAGACTAGGTAGTATATTGTCATTTTGCATATTGTATGGGTCCAGAAAGGTTTAAGGTTATATTAGGGCCATTTTATATAGCGATCTCCACGTTTAGGTAGTATAATACGAGTTTACTTATATTGAAAGGTTATTGCATTGCAGGTTCTTGAAATACTCTAGAGACTAGACGGCCGGAAGTTATGATTAATAAAAGAAATTTGAGATTTACAGGGGTAAATTGCTTCGAATTATGCTAGTTCTGAAGTATTTATGCCAAATTCCTGTAGATTTTTACTGGATTACACTATACCTATACTTTATACTAATTCTATGTTATTACTTATATAGTATCACGTTTCTTATATTAATGCCATATGGTATACTAACATCTGTAACGCAGTCTACATAAAATTCATTGCATGATTAATAGATACTGCTTTTTGTTATTCTTTACATAGACAATCAAGTCACGCTAAATATCACCTCCACGTGTTCTCAAAAAAGCAATGTGACCAGTCCGACTCCGGACCCATTATCTTAAGCCATTCGATAATAAATGTCTCAGAGTTGCTTTGTACGTGTCATACAAGTACACTGGGCTTTTGGGTGGCAGCACTTAGCTTATAAGCCTTGCAGAGATCTGCTCGTCGTGCTACCATGGCATGCGTATAAATTCCTAAGAGCTCGCTCGAGGCCTTGAGTTTTCTGAGGCGTCGTTAATTTACGTATGCAAGAAGTTGGAAACCCTCGGGCAGGTACGGGGTAGTAGGACGCCCCCGGCGACCCGTATGCAGGACTAGGCGACGTGGCTTGGACCCTAAGGGAGCTATTCTTTTGTCTTTTATTCGAAGTGTCTATGATTAGACGTCCAATCAATAACTCTCTAGCTACAGTGAATTATAACATCAGGAACGGTTAGGGATGGAATTATTTTAAAGCACAACATCTGATTATATTTCACTTCGAAACAATAGATCAGTTCGATGTCTAGTTTTACAAAGTAGTGGAAAGGGGTAGCGCTAAGCCAAATTTGTCACATTTAGCGAGGCCCCTCGGGATATAGAACTTTCTTTTCCAAATCAAAGTCATGAAGAATTTACTTGTAATGGCCCTAAATCATTCGATGTGGCCGCATTCTGCAAAAGTTATGCTCCTAACCCCCTAGGTCTTAGTAGCTATGTGGTTAGAAAATCATTTCGAAAGACTCCCAACTGATTCGCTTTCTGACTACATGACTTCAACTAGAATAGCTATTCTTGGGATCATATGTGTTCACTTCCGGCGTTGAGCGACTGCAGGAAGCGCAACTTGAGAGTGCTTATTGGGCGTCAGTCTGACGCTATAGGGAACAGTACCGCATGCACTGCATGGCACCTATTTGCCTTTCTCAAGAAAGGGCACAAGGTAGGTAAGCATGATGAGATCAAGTGGCATCCGGGCTCTACTTACAGCCAGATGAGTAGCGTCGTGGCTTCCATCGTGGCGCCGTCGCTTTTGGTCAGGAAATTGGAGACGAGCCGCCCTGCAGAAGCAGAAAGATCACTGCAGAAATAAGTTTGTTAGACGGGAAGGCATACATCAGACTTTCCAAGGCGTACTTACATGCCACCATCTAATGAGGAACGTGAACGTCAAGCCAATCTTGAGTCCTCTTGATGCCTGCAGGGTCCAGATGACCGGTATAGGGAGAACCAACATCTATATGTCTGTGACTATATTCGGGACCACGATTCCGGTGGCAACAGTGCGTTAGTTTAAATATTTTGCACCCGAAACACTACAGTCCCAGTGTACAGCAACTGACCAGCTGCCAATATCAAGAGCGGTTAGGATCACTAGATATAGAGACAAAATCCCAAATAAGTTCTTGTTTTCAAATGTTCATTACTTCTGCCGAAGACCCGCTGGTAGAAGACCAATATCGCCAGTTTAGGGAAGATAGGTGAGAAGTTGTAGATAAATGTCAAGGAGGAAAGTTCTTGAAGCCAGCGTCGAAATAATAGGGGGTAGTTGAAAATTATATATGGTCAACAATATCCAACACCAGGATTAATCAATGCGTCTGTTTGCAAAATTAGTATTCCTGTTTCTTAAACCGAACCACTGGGAGGGAAAAATAAGGATACGAGAACCAGAGCATCACCATATCCTATTCAACGATGACTATCTATTTCGAAATGCACCGGAGTGCAACGAATGTTATTTCAATGACCAGAAAAATTGAAGTGAAGACGAGCGTAGGGTGTCCGCTATATACCGAGTCAAATGCATCAGGAGCAATCTCGGCTGAACTTGAAACTCCACCAGGAATTTCAGGCCGAATTAATATGACAGGGCATATTGACCATGTTTGGATATTTGATGGCCGTCAGGCAGGCCGAGTACATATTTGAGTAAGTGAGATGAACACACCATAAAAGTTTAATTGAGGATGGCTTAAAAAATGGCAAATCTTGGATCTAGGGCTGTTCAAAGTAGAATTGGTATAATCTCGGAGGGGACGATATTAGAGGGGCAATATGTGAGATGCGGATCAAAGCTGTGTAATTTTTACATAGTGAAGAAACATGACTTAGAGTATTAAGGTTAGTGTTAGGTTTTCAAGGTTGTTCTAGTACAAAATCTTGTATGTTGAGCTTCGGATAACCGTTTTGACTACTTAAACAAGACGATATTCGCTGACTCTAACTAAGTATAGTAAAGGCGGGCCCTCTTATCTTGTTCAATTGAGTGGTTATTCAAGACGAGCGGAGCTGATAGCGATCTTTTGGTTGTAAGAGATGAGATCGCCCACTTTGCAAAGAGTATGGAAAGTGTATACTTTATAGATTGAAGGGGTATAGTGCTACCTAATTTCCACGGGTTTTCTATTCCACCTCTTACTTATGCTCCTGCTACAAGGCACGACAAATGAAACTTTTTTAAGCAAAGAGCAACTTGAAATAAAAATCATCAGAACAATAATTTCGCTTTATTTAAAGCCGTGTAGTTGCCGAAGACGACAAAGATTTAGCACGTTTCTTAAGGTCGTCTTCGTCGTCTGCAGATCTCCACATACCTATGTATATACACCCTCGCACCATCTCAGGGATCGCCATAACCGTTTCGCTTATGCTCGATTTGGACTAAGCTCAGGTACAGTACGACCTGCTCGCGAAATTCACAGACTCGCGGTATAGTACTACGTACCTACTATAGGAAGGTGTAACCTTAAATGAGCTTACGGCAGTGGCGCTACTCTATATAGGTCCTGTATGATTTATTTCTCGCGTGAAACATAAGAACGGTGGTAGTGTTATACATGTATCAATACTAATATTTGTGCTACCTTGAGTTATGTCCAAGAATAGAGTCATATATATATATGCAAGACAGACTTAGCAAAGTACACTAGATGAAAAGCAAAGCCTACCGGAAATCAGTAGGTCAACTTGAAGATCTTCGAGTTCCAAGCCTTATCTCCATCTCGGTACTTGTGCCGTCAAGAAATTTATACCCCACCCACTTGATAAAGCTTATTAATACTACGCAACACTGACCTCTATTGAGTGCAGGAGGAGGGCTTACAAATAGAGAAACATAAGACCGAACTAGCCGTAAGCACTCAGACAAAATCCAAGAACCGACTTGTATCCAAAAGCTTTTCATTTCTCTATCAAGACATTATATCATGTCACATCAAACTCGTCCTACCCCCAACCTCCCTGGCACCCTCCCCATCCCTCATTTCCCCACTCCGTCCTACCACAAACTCTCTGTAAATAGCCTCCAACCGGCTTCGTTCCTGGGCGCTAATACTCGCCCTCGTACTGCGCAAACTACTCTCCACATGCCTCGCCCCAATAATAACCTCCTTCTGTTCCTTCTCTTCGCTCTCCCCCTTTTCCTCAACATGCCCCCTCTTCGCCCTCTTTTTCGCTGCTTTGATTTCCGAAAGCTTTGCAGCAATAGCGGCGCGTTCCGCAAGGATCTTGCTTTTGTTATGTCCACCTCGGGAACGTGCTTCTGCTTCAGCGCGCTCTTCTTCTTCGCCGTAGCGGAATTGTACGAAACTGCGATTCGTTGTAGAGGAAGCTATACCGTTTGTGCCTTTTGCTCCTAGTGATGAAGTGCTGTGGTCTTGGTCCCCAAGAACGTCGTGAATAGCTTCGAGATGTGCATTGTAGATTAAGGCTTGGAGGTCGGCGCCGCTGTAACCTTCTGTGCGGGAGGCGATTGAGGGGAGGGCGGAAAGGACTTCGGGGCTGAGGGTGAGCTTTCTGCCGAGGGCTTGGAGGATGTCGATTCTGTCTTCTCTGGAAGGGAGGTCGCAGATTAGGCTTTTGTCTAATCTTCCGGGTCGGAGCAAAGCTGGATCGATGAGATCCGGTCGCGAAGTTGCAGCTAGAACGTAGACTCCGGACAATCCTTCGGCACCGTCCATTTGGGTGAGCAATTGATTGACTACACGATCGGTAACGCCGGTAGAATCGTGACCTCTCTTTGGTGCGATTGAGTCGAATTCATCGAAGAACAGAACACATGGCCGGGCAGCCTCGGCTCGTTCGAAGAGATCTCGAATAGACTTCTCTGATGCACCAATGTATTTGTTGAGGATTTCGGGACCTTTGACTGAGATGAAGTTGAGACCACATTCGCCTGCTACAGCCGAAGCCAAGAGCGTCTTGCCACATCCTGGATAACCGTAGAGCAGTAGACCCGACCGCAGTCGGAGTGGACACTGAGCGAATATAGGAGCGTATGTGGTAGGGTATTGTAAAGTTTCGAGGAGAATCTTTCGAGTCGCATGTAAGCCACCAATAGAGTCAAAAGTTGTAGTACTGGTCTGCAATGTTACATTGCGTAGTGAGGCCGGTGTGAAGCCTTTGAGCGCAGTATTGAAGTCCCCACGAGTGAGACTGATGGACACGGAATCAGCATCTTTCGAAACAGATCGAATCAATGCCTCGCTTCGAGCGCGAGCAACGAGGAGAACGATATCACCTGGCATATACCCGTCTGTCTCACCGGCAAGATCGAGAAAGTCGAGGTCGGAGGAGATGATAAATCCGTCTGCTCTGCTAGATGACCCCTTTTGACTACCCACGCTTGAACCGTCCATCCACGCCCCTTCGTCACCGCTAGCACTGCCATTGGCAGTTACTGGGCGACTTCCTGAAGTAGATTTCATCTCGTTCGAATCCACGTCAGTGGCGTTTTGTCTGACAACCATTTCCATTACTTTCCTCCTACCCTCCTTGTTTGGAGCTTTCAACCCCACGATCTCCCTAACTACATGCCCACCCACGATCACGTTATGTAGCGACTCTTTGGCTTGTGATGTAGCCAGAAGGACTACGCCACTGTCTCGACCACAATATTGCCGGACTAAGCTGCAAATGCTTTCACTGATTTGACGGCTGCGACCGTTGTCATCTCCAACGACAAGCTCAGTCTCAACGGGGCACAACTTATCTAAATCATCCAATATGACAAGGGATTTCCCGCCAAGTCTAGCGCCCCAGGAAGCATCCATAAATATTCTAGCAAAGGTTTCCTTGATCGTAGAAATTTGGGTCTCGTGGTTCAGGAGTTGTCGGCAGGAGAAGTATGTGGTGTGGAATAACATCTCGGATCTTAGCCGATGAGCAAGGAGCTGTGCTACAGAGCTTTTGCCGGACCCAAGTGCCCCTGTAAGCAAGACTGACGACAAGTGGGAGAGATGTGACCGTAGTTGCTCGATGAGTTTATCTATCCCAACAAGCACAGGAGGTTTCGAAGCGAGAGGATCACCAATAGCGTTTTCTTTAGAGATAGAAAACGGTTTCGGTATTGGGGGCTGCACTTGAATGGCGATTTTACGTTCCGAACCCAGGAACCAATGGCATGGCTGTTTGTCCGATTCTGGAGAGCTGTGGTCAAACCTCAGTACTCCGCCTTCCCATCCGGAAATCGGTGTTGGAGGTGTACTAATAATAGATCCGTCTGTCAAAGGCCCATCTAGAAGGCCATCACCAGCTGAAGTTTTGCTGTACATTTTCAAAATGCGCTGTGCCGCCTCGTCTCGTTCTGCCTTGGTATCACCACCGAATTTGAGGCCTTCAATAGCTTTAGCACTGCCAATTATGAAAGGAAAGACCTTGAGTATGTGGGCGGTAGCTTTGGGAGCCGGTTGGGAAGGATCTTCGGATCTCCTGCCAGCGTTTTTCTCAATCTGTGGAGGGGCAGCTTCCAGCTTCACGACACCACCTACTAGACCTTCACAGGACATAGCTGCACACAACGCCCTTGACAATGCAACATGTTGACTATCCGGTGGGTCATCCCATGCCATCAATTTTGCGACCTTTTTCGATGTTATCTTGCCAATAGCCTGCATATTTTCGTTCTCTTGTTGTTGACGCTGAGGGTCGACTGGAATCTGGAGGCTTGCCGGCTTGACCACTGTGACACAAACCCATGTAATACCTTTCAATGCCTTGGAAAGCAATACATCTCGGTCAACCCAGACTTTCAGTCCCTGGTCTTCCGCGTCGTTCGTCTCTTCGAAGAATTCTTTGAAAAGACTTCGATCGACCCCTCGGAAAAACATGGATGGTCTGGTATCGTCAAGACCACTCCTCCGCCGCAGTGTACTTGCACTACTTCTTGCACCCGTACTTCTCTTCGATGTAACACTGCGGTTCTCGGCCGATGACCGGGGCGGCTGGGACCGTGTTTTGGGCGCAACAAGGACTTCGGCATTAGGGCCTAATTTAGCAAACGGCGAATTCGATGGCGGAGGGGGGGTAAGTGTAAGCACTGCCACATTGGCGGCAGAAGTTGGGGAGAGGTGGAGGCTGAGCGGATGTGGACCAGGAGCAGACCCATTTGGCGGGATATAATTCGGATTTGGCAGAGCGCGTATCTGATGCATCATATTGAGCTCCAGAAATGTCGCATGGAGTTCTATTATCTCCCAGTCCTCAGGCGTCAAGGGCTCAATTTCGACCGTATGGGCTAAGGGGGGATCCATGTGTATTGTTGCCGTAACTTTCTGCCCATCTACTATGCCCAGTGTCCGCGCAAAGGTCGCGTCTATTTCCACCAGAGGAACCTCCTGTTCCCGGCCAGTATTCCCTCTGGTACCTGCAATTCCATCTCTACTGACAATAGGCGCAAGCTTACGCTTGCTCTGCATGCCCGTCCATCCCACAAATACAGCTCGTTCTTTGGGCGCTCCATTAGTTTGTTTTGCGCCAGGTTGTGAGGGTGCGCGGTAGTTTAGTTCTATAATGATATTTTGTGCGACCTACAATAATGTCAAAAGATGAGCAGCGTTGGAGTGTTGAGAGAAGAACAAACAGTATTGGAGTTGATCAACAACGAGCATAACGAAGAGGGCAGGTTGACTAGGCAGTTCTTCAAATGAGCAACGACTGATATTTCAGCTGAGGTAGCCTGGCTGTTTCGCCGTCTTGATTCTGGAGCCATGATATGAGGGTTAAAACTGGTAGAGAATAACAACAAAATGAGGGAGGGAGATGATCGAGAAGCTTGAGGTACAGCATCCAGCATCCCCAGATCTTTCACAAGCCTCGGCAAAGACCCACCTGTGGCTGGTGGTTGCGACTGACTGTGGCTGAACTAGAAACACGAAAAGTCGCGCGACGCGGTCGAAATGCCAAAGCGCGTAAATTGAAATCCGCATTGCAGTTTCCTGCCATCGACTTTACGTTCGAATCTCTTGCGACAAGGAAATCACCCCTCCATCAACAACCAACATCTGCGCAACACTCCCACATTCTCTCCTCTACTTTGAATCCCCGATATATCTAAGAATCAACAATTATACTCTTCCTGAATCGGAATACCTTCCTTTTACCAGACCTCAGGGGCTTTGCGCAAGATGGCGCTTCTTCAATTCAGGGCGCCTGTCGACTATGATGAACACCGGGGTATGTCCTGCGCGACCAGGCCCAAGAACTGCCACTGATACAAAGCTAATCACGTCTACAGCGGCCTTCGAGGAGTTCCTCCAGACCTTCAAAACCTCCCCTGCTGCTTCTATCACACATGCGCTCGGCGACATGAACATTGACGAAGATGATTTGAGCGACGAATACGACTTTATGGATGAAGATGACGACGAGGGACAAACTTCGCGAAGACAAGCAAGATCTCAGGCCAAGATGCCAAAGCTGAAATACTTGGACCTGCTTCAGAAGGTTGCGGACCGATATGAGGAGGAAATCACAATCGATTTGGACGATTTAGCAAAGGTAGGAGTAAACCCCTGGATGTTACAATGCAATACTGACACAAGTTTCACCTAGTGCGACCAATTATCAGAGGAGAATGGACAGTCATTGAACTTGGTTAATTCGATCGAGACAAATGCAAAGCACTATTTGGATATTATGGCAAAGGCAGTCGACAATGTCATGCCATCCCCATCACGCGAGATCAAGTAGGATGCGAATACCTGCCACCCCAAAATTTATGCTAATACTGCAGCAGCTATAAAGACGATGTCCTCGATGTACTAATGGCCCAACGAACAGCGAGAAACAACGCGCTTATTCGAGCGGCTGCAGATCAAACCGACCCTATCGAGCCTGAGCTCTTCCCCGCTGAATTGACTCGACGATATACTCTTAACTTCAAGCCACGAACTGAGACTGATGACCCCCTCAAGGCCTTGGCAGTACGACAGGTTCGTGGAGAGCATCTAGGACACTTAATCACTGTTCGAGGAATTACCACCAGAGTCTCCGATGTCAAACCAACAGTAGAAGTAAATGCATACACTTGCGATCGCTGCGGATGCGAAATCTTTCAGCCAGTAGGATCGAAAACTTTTGGACCATTGATTGAGTGCCCATCCAAGGATTGTGAGGTCAACCAAACCAAGGGTCAATTACATCACTCTACACGAGCTTCAAAATTCCAGCCATTCCAGGAAGTCAAGATCCAAGAGATGGCTGAACAGGTTCCTGTGGGTCATATTCCACGAATGTTGACCATTCTCTGTCACGGTGCTCTAGTCCGTAGAATCAATCCTGGAGATGTCGTTGATGTCGCAGGAATCTTTTTACCGACACCATACACTGGGTTCAAAGCTATTCGTGCTGGTCTCCTGACAGATACCTATTTGGAGGCACAACATGTGATTCAGCACAAAAAGGCTTATGAGGACCTTGCTATTGATAACCGAGTTTTCAAGCGGATAGAGCAATACAGAGCCTCTGGTCACGTTTACGAGTACCTGGCGAAGTCAATTGCTCCTGAAATTTATGGTCATTTGGACGTCAAGAAGGCGCTGTTGCTATTGCTCGTAGGTGGTGTTACAAAGGTCATGGGTGACGGCATGAGAATCAGGGGTGATATCAACATCTGCTTGATGGGTGATCCCGGTGTGGCTAAGTCTCAATTGTTGAAGTATATTACGAAAGTTGCCCCCCGAGGTGTATACACCACCGGTCGAGGAAGTAGTGGTGTAGGTTTGACTGCTGCCGTCATGAAGGATCCAGTCACGGATGAGATGATCTTGGAAGGTGGTGCCCTCGTCCTCGCAGACAATGGTATCTGCTGTATCGATGAATTCGACAAAATGGATGATAGCGACAGAACCGCAATTCACGAAGTTATGGAACAGCAAACCATTTCCATTTCCAAAGCCGGTATCTCAACAACTTTAAATGCACGAACCTCAATTCTCGCAGCCGCAAACCCCCTGTATGGCCGATACAACCCTCGCATCTCGCCCGTGGAAAACATCAACTTGCCAGCTGCTCTTCTCTCACGTTTCGACGTCCTTTTCCTTATCCTCGATACTCCAACAAGAGATACAGATGCCCTCCTCGCCCGTCACGTAACTTATGTTCACATGAACAACAAGCACCCTGATACAGATGGCGTCGTCTTCACTCCCCACGAAGTCCGCCAATACGTCGCCCAAGCACGAACCTTCCGTCCTACCGTCCCAACCTCTGTCTCAGAATACATGGTGAAAGCTTACGTCAAGATGCGTGAACAACAAGCCAGAGATGAGAAGAACAAGAAGCAATTCGCGCATACCTCACCACGTACCCTCCTCGGTATACTCCGTCTAGCTCAAGCTCTCGCCCGTCTCAGATTCAGCGAAGAAGTGGTGCAAGACGATGTTGACGAGGCTCTGCGTCTCATCGAAGCCAGCAAAGACTCTTTGTACCAAGATCAAGACGGGTTCCGGAAAGATATGTCGCCTAGCTCGCGCATATACAACATGGTTCGTGCGCTTGCCGACGCCGGACAATGCAGACCGGATGATATGGATGAGGACGAGGACGAGACTCTGGGTATGGAGCTTTCGATGAAGAAGGTTGAGGGGAGAGTCATTGCCAAGGGATTTACCCTGGATCAGTGGCAAACTGCTGTTATGGAGTACACAAACCTTGATGTAAGTTCGCTCCATTGTTTTCGCCATCCTAAGTAGTTACTTACATTTAAAATAGATATGGCAAACGGCAGGAAACGGCACACGGCTCCTGTTTATCGTCTCGGAAGCTGCGCATATGGCACGAGATGCCGAGTATGATATGGAGTAAACTAATGCATGGATATGATTTGGCGTTTTAGGCTATGTTTGTGATTCAAGTTACAAGGGCGTTATTTTTTGTTGATACCGTGGTTAAAGTGGATGTGGAATGCATTGGTGGAATACTGCTGCCGTTTTCGAGTTTCGTTTCTTGTGCTTCTGATTCACTCTTGCAGTATAGCGCCAGTAATGCTGGTCTATAAACCTTAGAACTTGTGTGTACCAGTACTTGATCATATGTCTTGACGTAAACATCTAGTAAAGACCTAACCTAGAAACCCACAATATATAATCTTTCAAGTTGCTTATCTTGATATGTTCTTATATATGAATATCACGTATGTTTAAATATTTCTAGACTGGCAAATTAGTCGGACTTTAGATTTGCTAAGTCTAAAATCCCCGATACATATTTTGGACTTGCCACACGATAGGTGCGCGTCTTTTCACGTGTTGGTACCTAAGAGGAAGTTTAGGAGGAGTGAGAGTGAGAGGGGTGTGGACGGAAGGTGAGGCGTGCACCATACGGAGTATGACCTGTCGGTGATGCTTACTGTGCCTTGCAGGTGCAGGTGCATTGAATGTAGTGGGGGAAGTCCGTGGATATGTCTGAATGTGAGTGAAAGTTTTATTTTAGGACCGGGAAACCTTGACTTATATATATTGTACTCCGTAGTTTAGGTTCTTATATCGTAAGACTTGTGACATTAGACTTGAACTCCTGCATGTAGTGTTATGAGGCGTTCTTTATGACTTAAAACTTGGTCTTCATTTAGGCTGGCGGCTTTGTGTAGAGAAAGCCGTATAATACTAGAGGAGTTAAAGGATGTATATTCCGTAGTCATGGTTACTGGTTTTTCTACTTGAACTATGCAGTATGCTGACTGTATTCCTCGTAGAGTCCTTACACAGTGATGTCACCGGGACTGTATCTTGCCACAATACTTCGTATATACCAACATCCCTATGCTAGTACTTCGCGCTCTAAATAAGGCGTAGATAGTAGATCACAGTAATAAATATTTAGCCACCAATAGCTAACTCGTATTTCCGTAGTCAAATTTACGAAGTATGACACCACACCCCGGCCTGGTTCCCCCTTTCTTATATGATCAGCTCTCGCTTAGCTACTGAGGTATTTGGGGCACCGGGCATCGGAGCAATGGCCGCATAAGTGTCCGCACAGCCCTAGCTTGCTTTAAGCGAGTATTAGGGGAATGAAAGGACGCTACAAGTTGTTTGTTTATATCAACTATATTTCCCTTTCGCTGCAACCTAACACTTTTTCAAGGTAGTATTTTATAGCCGATCACGCATAATGCGTTTCTCAATAGCGAGAACAGTGAATACAGAAGATTCCATGTTCTGGAGCCATTTGTCAGCTGAATGTGGGCACCCAGATGTTCAAGTGGACACCCCCTGTCCTCCCCGTTTTTATTCAACAACGGAACCACATTTTCGCTGTATTTGCTTGGTGCGGCTCTATTAACGTCCCATCGCTATTCCAACTTCAGAAAAAGTGGTTTCAGAAACATCTTCAGATCTATATGCGCGCCAATCACAACCCCATCATGCCCCAGATGGAGAGGGAGATCACCTGGCTCTCTGAGACCATCTCTCCGCCTTCTCCACGCGCCTTATCCATGTTCTTGCGGGCGGCGGGGAGGCACGTATAAGAAGGGAGAAGTGCCAGTTGAATAACAGATTTTACTTGTCACTATTCTTTTTATTGAGAGAGAATACTCTAGTCATTTCGCAACTATGGCACTTCCAACATTTCCCAAGATCAAAAATGTCTATTTCCTTGCTGCTATCGCCACTGTAGGTGGTATGTTGTAAGTCTTGGTCCATTATAAAGTTTTCAGGAGACAAATAGTAACGATTTCTCAGATTTGGTTTCGATATTTCCTCCATATCAGCTATTATTGGAACGCCTCAATATGTAGAATACTTCAACAACCCTCAAGGAACGACGCAGGGTGGTATCCAAGCAGCACTCGCTGGAGGGTCAGTTATTGGAGCCAGTAAGTAATTTTCCAAGCAAAACATTATTCCTCCACAATGGACCTCTTTTCTTCGTCCTTTTAGCAAATTATGAAACTAACTTTTACAGTGATTGCCGGTCCCGTCTCCAACAAACTGGGCCGCCGCAACTCCATATTCTTCGGCTGCATCTGGTGGTTACTCGGAACGTCCCTACAAGCTGGCTGTACCGGCATCACAATGCTAATCTGCGGACGTTTCATAAACGGTATCTGCGTCGGCATTACCTCATCCCAGGTACCCGTCTACCTGGCCGAAATCTCTCGCAAAGAAACCCGCGGCTCTATCATCGTGATCCAGCAATGGGCTATCGAGTGGGGCATCTTCATTATGTACTTCGCGGGATATGGCTGCTCTTTTATCGACGGCCCTGCGTCTTTTAGAACTGCCTGGGCCCTGCAGCTTGTTCCCGCTGTGTTTTTGATGATGGGGATTCCGTTTTTGCCCGAGAGCCCCAGGTGGTTGGCGAAGGTTGGGCGGGAGCAAGAGGCGGTTGCTATTCTTGCTGATATTCAAGCTGGTGGAAACGTTAATGATCCACTAGTTCTGGCAGAGTGGGATGAGATTACGACCATTCTGGCCGCTGAACGAGAAGGTCAACAGGGATGGAGAAGATTCATCAAGAACGGAATGTGTAAGTGATTGAAACTGACTCTTCCAGCTGGAGTTTTATCGTGGAAAACGAAAAACTGACCGCTATTTTCATACAGGGAGACGCACCTTTGCTGGCTGTTCAGTCCAGGCTTGGCAACAATTGAGTGGAGCTAACGTAATGACCTATTATGTCGTCTATATTTTCGAGATGGCAAACCTGACTGGCAACATCGGGCTCGTCTCTTCTGGCATCCAGTATGCAATTTTCATCATCGGGACAGCAGCAACCTTCTTCTTTATCGACAAGACCGGTCGTCGTCCTCTTCTAGTAAGTTTCGAGAATCTTTCACTCAAGAACCCGTTCCCCCTTCGAGATGTCGACTAACTGGAACCCCGCAGATCTACGGCGCCGTAGCAATGGGGGTGTGCATGTTTGTTGTCGGAGGCGTCCTCGGATCCTACGGCACCTATCTCCCAAATGGACTCGAGGACAATCTCTCCGTGCGAGTCCAGGTCACCGGCTCGCCAGCATACACTGTCATCGCATTTTGCTATCTCCTAGTTTTAGCATACTCCCTCACCTTAGCTCCCATTGCGTGGGTCTATGCGGCTGAAGTCTGGTCCCTCGAGACTCGCGCTACCGGTATGTCGCTAGCATCTATCGCAAACTGGCTGTTCAACTTCGCAATCGGATTCTTCATCCCGCCTGGCTTCCAGAACATCTCGTGGAAGTTGTTTATCATTTTCGGCGTATTATGTTTTGCGGCTGCTGTACAAGCGTTTGTCAGGTACGTTCTCCAACAAACCAAAAGCAAAACTGCTGCTCAACTCTTTGATATGATTTATTAAAAATCCAGATTACTGACTGTGGAACCTACAGCTACCCCGAAACAGCTGGCAAGACTCTGGAGGAGATCGAACTCTTGTTTGGAAAGGATGGACCGCATCCTTGGAACACGAAGCCGGGCAATAGTTTGCTGGATGCCAGGGTCCAGGATATCCAGGAACATGGAGGGAAGGTTGGCGCAGCGTTCAATGGTGCGGAGGTAGAGACAGCCGAGGATGTGGAGAAGACTGCCGCTCCCCCACGACCTACTGAGACTATTGCTTGAAGTTGGATGTTCATTTACACTAATGCTGTATCCCGTTAACGTTCTTTGAGGAGATATAAGATAAAAGGAGGGAGAGTGTGTAGAATACCTGACATATTAGACTAGACGGGGATGGAAAAACGCGAAACTTGCAACTCACTTCTATCATTCCTTTGATTAAGCTCTGATTCGATCATCTTCATGATCCACCCATCCCAAGAAGAGTAAGCTTTATGGCGAATCACAGCTCACAATAATAACCAAAAAGAGGTCAGCGGAGGTGAAGAATATGCTAGTATTAAGCTATCAAAGACGAGAATACTAAAAGTAAGGAGGGAAGAAGGGAAGAATGGGGTGGGAGGCAGCCCCTTCTTTTACTAGCCAATCCACACAGCTTCTAGGGTGTGGGAGATTACCCTGCACGTGAATATAGGAAGTGTTAGGGATAAAAGGTGTTCACACGGGAAAGAGAGGTGATTGAAACCACGAGGGGTAGTCTCGCGAATAGCCTCAATGACGTAAGACGTATGAATGGTGGAAGTTCGTGGCACGTGTGCGACACGTGATGCAGCAGCATATCACTAGCCTGTGACAAAAAGGGGCCGAACATAGAGCTGTACTGTTTGAGCTCACATACTAGATGTCCAAGCATTCGCCGGTGATATATTTTCATTGCAAGCCATGCTTTATGAGCAATGAGCGGCTCGCCAATATGCTTCGAAGTAGGAGAGAAGAATAGGGGAAAGAGAGCTGAGGTCTAGCACGTGATTGAAGTACAAGGCAAATTTGGCAGAAAGGGAATGCAGATCAGTGGAATGAATTTGGAAAATCAAAAAGGAAAATACAAGCTATCTCTAGACCCGATGTGAATCCTGTATGCCACGTGCTGTTCAAGTGTTAACATGTGACCTGGCTTCTGTTCCTTCCCCTTCGGTGAAATTCACCTTTCAAGTCGCGTCTCTCGCACAGAAGAAAACAAACCTTCTCCAATTCATTCCAGATGGTATTCATCCTCTCTTCAATCCGTGAATGACCAAGACCAAGACCAATCCCTGACTGCATTCCATACTTGGACGGTAAGACCTCCCTGCACCGTTCCCAGTCTCCTGGAGCTTGTCTCGAGCTCGAGAAAGAAGCATTGCAGTCCCCGCGTTGGACCAAAATCCATCAAGATACGGCCACCACACGCTCTCCTATTATTAATCACAATGGCTGAAACTTCCTTTACCAGCGCAGATTCATCTCGCGCGCGACGATACTTAGTGGAATTATCCACGAAGCTGAGGCTAGACCCGTCGCATTACAAGCCTCACTAGCATATCAGACCTCACCTGGAAGACACTCACTTGTCAACAATTCACTGCAAACCTGTAAGCTTCACCTTCCGCAAGTTCCACAACAGCCCAATTCGGCGTGCCTTGGGCAGAGAGCATCTACGAGGACCCATGTGCTGTTCTCGACATCAAATCCCAACCGGCTTCTCTGAATGTCCTGACCAGAAAATTAGGATGAGTAGCTGGCATTAACAAGCCTGGTGGACAGGATCATATCGCTGCAAGCCACTGGCTGTCTTGGGGTTCCCGCCAGGCAAGCTCTCCGATACTCTCAAACAGTACTGGTATTGACCAAGAAACAAACAGGAGCTTTCAACATGCCTCCAAAAAGATCCCAAAAGACCAACCCCAAGTCGTCTCATCCAGGCACTACGGCTGCATTCAAGAAGCTCTCTGAGCACCTGAAGAAGGCATGGACGACCGAAGGAGAGATCAAGTAAGCCCCGCATCAGTACGAACATCCACCACATGATGTTAACGGAAATAATAGAGCCCCGGAAGTAGTGAACACGCTGAAGGGAATACTCAGAACCCAGAGGCAAAAGTCAACATCTCTCGAGCCAAAGTTTCTGATCGACGTCGTATCCAGCATACAAAAAGATGGAGACGACCTGGGCAGTCGGATCGATGAAAGCATCTTCAGCATTATAGTGGAGACGATCATTCAGACAGATTATTGCATTGAAAATGAACGTGCATTGTACTTACTATCGGTATGTGTTGTTCCCGACCAGCTGCAAAAGTACCTGTCTAATTTAGCTAGGCGTCACTACACCGTGACAGAAATGGAACTGTCAGCGGCAAGACCATCCAGAAGAGACAGGACTTGATTGGCAAAAGCATACTGCAGCCGGCACTAAGCTACTTTATCGACGCCAATAATCACCCTGGAATGCGCAGATGGGTGAGATCCAAGCCCCACATTTAGGTCGTTTACTTACACCAGCAAGGCTGGTACTTTGTGTATCCAGCTTCTTCAAGGTTCGGAGGAGAACTGCAGCAGACTCAGCACAGGTTCCGATCAGACAAAGTAAGAATTGTTTGCGGGGTGACTAGCTTTCTGTGAAGCTGCTGACTTTGAAATAGAGAGAACATTGGCGAGCTTGTGATCGGCGAGACCAACGAAGTCATCAGAATCATCTGTGGGAAGTTAATGAGAACAGCAATGCAAAGTAACGATGTGACTTTAAAGAGCTTTTGGCACGTCCATTGTAACAAAGGATGCTATGAAGGATTTCCAATTGGCCCTCAAGTTGATGAGGAATGGAGCCAGCTGTTCAGTGGCTACATCGATAACCTGTTCAACGATGGTTGGCTTGTTGAGTCGTGAGTAATCGCATTCAAAGCTTGAACCTAGACTAACAAGAAATAGCAAGGTAAACTTACTTTTTGCGGAAGGCTGCGAGCTGATACCTGGTCATAAGTTTGTACCTGAGAACAACCGTATCAATATTATGGTGGATGAGGATCGGGAGTGGTTGATTATTATGTCTTCTACAACAGAATCCATGGACCATATCATCGACATCCCAATACTTTCAATCGACAAACTTGTTCCCATATTCCAAGATAATTCACAGGAAGAAATGCTCGAGCTTCTAGTGCAGATCAAGAACGATGACGATATGTTCTGCCTCTTGGATGGAGAAGGGGTAGCGTTGGACGCCATTAACATATACTTGGCGTTGGATGTTCTCGAGGAACTTGTCACATGTATTCACGAAAAGCACCCCAGCCTAGAAGTTCTGGAAGAATACAAAAACCCCGATGGCAGTGTTGATGAGAATGCTTTGGAGCCGATAAAAAGTCAACAGGCAGCAGTCATTGTGTTAGAAGAAGGAGAACTGGAAACACCCGAGGAGTCTACTGCTGACGGAGATAACTCGGAGCTGACAAACAGTCAACAGGCAGCAGTCATTGTGTTGGAAGAAGGAGAACTGAAAACTATCAATGAAGCTGCTGGCAATGTTGTTGGGGATAATTTGGAGCCAAAAGAAGGTCAACAGGCAGAACCTGTCCTGGTGTTGGATCTTGGAGAATCGAGAATTTTCAAGGCAGTTGTAAAAAAAGGACCAAGGAACGGTTCCACTAAGGGTGTTCCGGATCCGGAGATCGAAATGAGATCCGCTTCAGAAAGCCGGCTGTCCGACGACGAAGGCATTAATCTCGACGCAGAGGCTCCAGAAAACCAGATTTCCAACACCGACCTGTATGAAGCAAGCCCACTACGCAAGAAATACCAGCCTACGGTTGAGCGCGTGGTGTACGCGCAAGATGAAGTCAGCCCCTATTCTCGTCAAAAGAGCCCTCAAGGCAAGACGGCGTCAAAATCAAATGCAAAGAAACGCAAGAGGATGAAGCCCATTGCAAAGCAACCTATCCGAGCCAGTCAGTATGCTCCAAAGGTAAACGAAGTCCAGAAGCCTCTTGAGGTGGCAGAGCAGAATAAACATTCTGCCAAAGCTACAGCCACTAAAGGCCAAATAGGCGCGAAACCATTAGAAGTCGCAAAGGTAGCCTCCAAGGCAAAATCACCCGAGGTCTTACATTCGGAGCCAGTTTCAAGCTCGGAGACCAATAACGCATCAACACCAAAAACTACCGACGGTGCTGAGAAATATGACGGGGATTTTGTCCCACCACCACAGACTACAAGTCAACATCTCGCAAATGTCAGTCAAACAAGAAGCAAAAGCCTAAACGCACCTGCCATACATGCCGCGCGTGCAAAGGGGCGGGGCACTCAGTCGCTGGGTCAAGGAGCAACGGCACCTGATGTCTATGAGATCCCGGACGAGGAAGACGGCCCCAAGCCTGCGGTTGGGAAAAGAAAATCTAAAGCTCCCCCAAAGGCAGCACCAAAGTCTCAGAAGCAGAGCAAGAAAGTTGCTCCAAAGGTAGACCTGAAGAAAAGACAATCCGCACCTGAAGCAATTGAGAGTATGGAAGTTACCAAGAGTAAGCCAACAGCAAAAGAGCGAGAACTCGCAGTGCCAGTTGACGAGAGCATGCAGCAGTCGCTACCGAAGTCCCGGGCCAACGTTAAAAAGCGACAGTCCCCACCGGGAATTGGGGACATGCCGCCTCCAGAGCCAAGTGTTACAAGAAGCAGCAGAAATGCCACGAGTCAGGCCCGCGAGGCTGAAAGCCAGTCACAAAAGCCAGAGGCGACTGCTGCCCAGGCTGAAAATGCCATTGAGCCATCTCAAGGCCAAGATGACTTTTCAATGGCAATCAATGACGATTTATTTGGCTCAATTGCCGTCCTTAAGGACGTTGTTAAGGAAACACCAACCAAAAAGAGCTCTCGGCCAATGGAAGTGGCCAAGGATTCGGGTCTTGACATGGCATCCAAATTAGAAAGTATGCTTGGTTCAATAGGCACAGCTGAAGATACTCATGCCAATGCTCTGGATTCTCCGGCTCAATCAAGCAATGAAAAGCGATCTACTGAACATGGATCTGAAGATGCCATTGACGAAGTTGCTGTTCCATCTGACAACCCGTCTACAACATTCAAGCGAAAATCTGCTACCGACGCCAGCCCAAGCACCTTCAAGGTTTCAAATAAACCTAAGCAATGGAGCCAAACCCAAGAAAAAGGAGAGCTTATTCGGGGCAGAACGACCAAAGGCCTTGCAGATGCTACCCCCGATCGTGCAGAGTCGTTGACTGGATCGTCAACTCCGATTGAACAGGTAGGTGGTCTGAACGAATCAAGAAAGCGAAAGGCACCGAGCACCAAAGGCTCTCTTTCGAAACGACCGCGACCAGCCGAAGTTGATGCTCGGGTTCAAGATGTGGAGCCCTCACCTCGAAGAAGCCCACGTATTGCGGCCAAATTGAATCAAAAGAGCCAAGACCCTTCGCATTTACGGGATTTCGAAACCCCAAAGGTAAACCAAGAGCCACAGGAACAAGTCTCACGAGCGATGATAAGCCAAAAAGCCTTGCAGAACCGTGCAAAATCCAGCAATGAGACTGTAGTTCATGCGGTCGGAGCTGCGATTCGCCCAAGCCAAGAGCACAGGAAGAAGACAACGTTAATAACAAGAAGAAGTCCTAGGGGTAAAGCGAAAGTGAAAGAGAGCACAGAAGCCCCGGATACCGCACATTCAAAGACTCCTTTGGTTGATGATCGCAGATCTCGAAAGCCAAACGTCATAAGCTTCAGTAAACATGGAGCTCTTAACCAAGGGATCTCAAGTACTCCTAGAGAATCCCCTAGGTGTAATGTCCCAGCAGATACTCCGGCAAAGGAGCTTTCTGACGGAAAGAGAAAGCGTGATAACGATTTGGTTCAGGTGCAAAGCCCCCCAAAGAAGCGCCTATATGACAGCCCCATGGAACAAGATTTCGTTGATGAATCTGGAGACGACCATCCGGTCTTTGGAAGTAGTCCGCCTCAGCCACCTCTTAAGCAGACAAAAGCCATCGAGACTATAAGACTGGTGAGACAGAGTTCTCAATTGTCCCGTGTTGATGTGAACGGCAGTCCACGTGCATCCCCAGGCACGCAACAGATTGATCATATCCACAAGGCGAAATTGAGGCTGGAGAAGCCAATCCGACGGGTCGAAGAGCAGACAGAGCCGGAAGAGAAGACGCCTCAAGTTCGAGAACGTAGTTTTTCCGACGCCTTTGGACCAAGGGTAAGATTGGAAAGTCGGTCAAAGGCACGCCCAGAATCCGTTGACAAGACCGAACCCCGTTATGTGGCCCACAAGAAGACGAAAAATGGACACTATGAAAAGATCGACTCCAAAGAGGTCATTCTACCAGAGAAGGAATTGGCAGATCCGTTCCGGGAAGAGGGTCAACTATCTAACCATTTCAGTCAACGTCTTCGAGCTGGGCCGACCGTGACAGAAAAGAGTCATGAAATCAGAGGTCAAAAGAGAGGGGCTGTTCGAGGATATCAGGAAGATCCGGAGAAGACTTTGGTCAACATCGAAGATCGGCTTCCGAGCCTGAGTAGTGGAAGTACGGCTGAGAGCCAATCTAGCGAGGCTTCGAGATCACCACTTGGGGAGATGGCTCTAGAAGAGCAGTGGAACATGGCCATCAGACCACATTATGCAACCTTGGCACAAGCTGTTCACCGCATAGCTGATGTAAGGGATGTATCCTAGAGCTGTGAATACGATGCTAATAGGTAATAGGAGGTGATTATCAGACTTGCGGGAGAGGAGGACAAGATGGGCTTGCTCGTCGAGGAGTACAAGGAGAATGGTACTAAGGTTCTCGACAATCTTGCTCAAAAGCGGGCTGGGGAGAAATCCAAGATGCGGCATAACCTCACGGAGAAGAAGAAAGCCATAGTGACGAACTATACGGCGACTAGAAGTTCGATTTCCAAACTGGTGGAGAAGTTGAAGCAGAGACCTCTTACACGAGTGGACAAGGAATGGTGTAGCAAGCAAAATTTGATCCGGGAACAAATGGATCAAGGTGGTGGGGATGATGAGTGAAGAGGATGATGCTAACGGTCGATTTGCTGTACTTTTGGCGTGGAATATGATTTCTCTGTGCTATTGCATGGCAGATATTAAAAAGCAGTTAATTAGGGGAGTTGCTGGCAATTCATGTGGTCAGGAAAAGGAAATGGGAAAGGAAATTGCAGGTTAATGATATATGAGCAGACAACAAGCACGTGTGTACAGATAATACAGTAGCACTAGAACACAATCCATAGAGATTCATTTGCAATTACGAGGGAGTCAAAGTACTGTATTGTGAAAATGTAATCCAGGGTGAGTTGAGTGATATTGAAAAGAAGAGAAGACGCGGCGCGGCAAACAGATGACGACGTTGGCTGCAGAAAAGCCGAGGCCAGGCCATTCCATTCGTTCAAAATCTGCCCCTCACTCATCTCCATTCCCAGCCCGCCCTCCATCTTGCAAGCCGACAGCGACAACGACGACAACGACCGACAAGTAGATAGTAGAGGCTTGGACTCTTTCTTCTCCATCTCTCCAACCCATCCATCCATCTGCCAGTCCTGCCTCTCCCCGCCTCTCCTTCGATACCCTCTATCTATCTGCTAAAAAATTACGAAATACCCCAGACAGACGGAATACATTCGATACCATACGAATACCCCGCGCCCGCTGTCGCAACCTACAGTATTGTAGCTCGAGTGCAAGTACCGGACGGTAGGATAGGATGAGTAGCAAAGGCTTCCATCCGTTCAAGGGAAGAGTGAGCAGGCATTTTGGGGATTCGGTACGTACCTTCTCGGTGTACGTTACACTAGGTGGATAGTACGGGTGCTATCATGCATATGATGGGTTTTGTGTCTGTGTTGGTGCGACGGTTCTGTTGGGTGTGCATGGTGGTCTTGTGCTGCTGCGTTGTTATCATGGGGATGGCCGTGAGGATGATGATGACGAGGCTCTTTTGTGTATGGGAATTGGAATTGGAGCTGGGGCTGGGGCTGACTAGACGAATACAGTTGGCGCCTGATGATGCATATCTTAGTTGTGAGTATTATGCTATATTCCTGGGGGAATGGATTGGGTTGGATTAGGTTGTATCTGAGAGTAAGGCTAATTGTTGGCAGATTATGATGTACGGCGTAAGTTTATTTCGGGGAGGATGGGAGAGGAGAAGAGAGGAGGGCGTGGTGCGAGGTATGGGATACTAATACTGAATTGATCTTGTAGTTACGAAAGAAGATGTCGATACCCTCAAGAATGACTGGCTCACCGATAACGTATGCCCCCCCTTCCTCTTCTCCCTTACACTACACTACACTACAATTCCCCTACTAATACAGAGTTTATATATACAGACAATAGCATTCTGGGAAGAGTATGAAGCCTCCCACCTCCCTGAATCAGACCTAGCTAAACACACAACCAGATACCTCGAGCGCGAAGAACTCCGCAAATTCCCTTCCTCGCACATAGTCCTCCTCCGCCCCTCCATGGCATTTATGCTCATGAAAACGCCCTCCGTGCTCTCCCTCCGCGACGCACTCCCGGACTTCACTTCCACAACACACATTTTCCTGCCGATCAACGACGCGCGCAACGTATCGATCGCGGAAGGCGGCTCGCACTGGTCCCTCCTCCTCGTATCCGTGATCGACGGCGTGGCATTCCACTACGACTCCCTCTCCGCATCGAATTACAATGAGGCGATGCTGGCGACGCAGAAGATTAGCGAGTTGTTGGGGAAGGGGCTGCGGTTTATGAATCTGCAGGATAGTCCGCAGCAGGAGAACGGGAGTGATTGTGGGGTTTATGTTTGTATATTGATGCGGCATTTGTTGTTGAAGCGCCTGCTGAGTGCGAATGCGAGGGAGAAGGTTAGTATGAGTATGGGTGGCAAGGTGGTGGATGCTAGTGGGGGGAGGAAGGAGATGTTGAGGACTATTGAGGGGTTTAGGAAGGAGGGGGAGAGAAGGAGATCGTATGTTTTGTTTTTATTT